ACTAATGTGTTTTAGGAATGAAGAGATATAGGTTATCCCACGTTTGTCAGAACTGTACGGTCACTTGATGCCTTGGTATGATTTGGTATGATTTCCACTGACAGCATGATCATAACATAGTTTTCAGGCTATCAATGGAGAGAATAAGTGTAAGATCTGTTTCCAGCTGTATATTGGTGTTTTGAAAGTATGAACTGAAAGATGCTTCTAATACAATAAGTTCATGTATAAAGACTGAATTTCTGTAAATTTTCTTTGGAGCATCTAACATCTTTTAATAGAAAAAATGCATTGTAAATATTTGTCTCTTCATTGATTATTGATGTATTTTCAGTTACTGCATGTATAGCTTATTCTTCCTTTCTCTCTGCTGAGACATCAGTGTAAACAGGCACTCTTCCTTATGGCTTTTGCAGATTTTTCAATGGGCAGAGTATTCTTTCCTCTTGTTCTGAAAGTTCCCATCTTGTTTTGAAGGTTATGCTGCTTATGAGAGTACATACATTAGAACTTTTTTTTATTCTTGAGTGTGTTTGTCCTCCTTCTTAAATTCATTCGGTTCAGTCTGAATATTTATGAATATTTATAAATATCTAATATTTATAACACTAATGGGTGTTATCTTGTTCTTTCCTCTGGAAAAGTTCTGGTCAGCTGCTCTTGCTATTTGAAAACATTTTTTTCTGGGTTTAATTTCTCTTGAGTTAATGAATCTCAATATTTTCAAAGTTAATATGCCATTAGCTTTCTAAAGTTAATGTCTGTTCATTTGTTTTAGATTTTTTATTAAGGTAGTCCCAAAGATCCTCCTATTTCTTGAAGAAACACAAGTATAGAAAACCTCAGTTTTTCTCTACAGTTTTGTCTTGGGCCTCCGTTACTAATTCCAGACTTCCCAACACTGTTTCTAGCAATACTCTTTTCTTTCTCTCTCTTTTTTTTTTCTCCCTCCAATAAGGCTATATAGAAAACTCTGATTTTCTTCAATTTCATGGTGAGTTCCAGTTGCCACAATTGTGTAAGCCTCTTTTGTTTGCCAGGAATTCAGGAGCTATGTTATTCTGATGCTCATTCACTGCTCCTTTTTGTCTACATGCTAATCAGCCATTACCTCCTTTTCAAAACATTGTTAACCAGACTTTTCATCTTTCTTCGTGCTGTATATTTTGGCAGTGATAGTAGGCAGAAAAAATCTTCTGTTGCTGATTTGTGAGCACTCTTTACACAAGTCTTGCAGATCCAGCTGGCACAGAAGTCATGGGCAGACAGATTGGTTTCTTCCATCGAACACATTTCTCCTCCAGCTTTTGTCCTTCTCAGAGAAGTACAGTTGGTGTAGGCTTTGGTCTTATTTTCTTCATGATGTTACCTCAAATACAACAACAGTTAGGATTAAAGTTTACAATGGGCATTGAAAGAACCAGCGACAAGGCAAAGTAGAAACGCTTCTGGGAGTTACAACCAAGAAGACAATGGGAAATAGCATATTTTATCAAATGGATGCTGTGCTTTTTCTTTTAATTTCTTTTCACTTACAGAGGAGCATGGTAATTCAGTCTGTAGGTGCCTGATACATTGACCATACCAGCCCAGTTCTCTTTGGGGGGAGAAAGGACAAGGAAGAGAAGAAATAATACATCTTTGGAAGCATATGGTTAGGAGTCAAAGAGAACCTAGAATTTCCATCCAACTGTGGAAGGAATGGCTGTTTCCTATCATGAAAAGGTGGAGGTCTTCAATGTGTTTCCCTTTGCAAAGAAGCATTACTTTGGTCTTGTCTGGATTCAGTTTGATCCATATGTTCTTCATTTAAGAGCTAATTTCCTGTAGATATTCTGATGTTTTATAGTGATGATAGTTGCATCAGAAAATGAGATAAATAGTAGATTGTCAGCAACATACTCCTAGCAATTGAACACATGCCATATCACTCTCTCTCTCAGCAGTCTCATATGGATAGAAGTAGATTATATAGATCCTGAAGGTGAGGACCTTGGAAGAAGGTGTTCATATCCACCACTTTTTTTTTAATTACTTGTAGAACATGAGTTGCAAGACTACTGTGTTAATGTGACTGTGTAATAGTAGATACAGGGGTCTGAAAACAAGAATCTGGAGATTGCAGTACCGTGGTTGGCGGAAGTTTTATGAATGCCTCCAGGAAGTTGTCAGAAATTCCATCTGTTGTTCGTACACCACTAGGAGCTCTGGTTCCTCTAGTCTGTTGCTTCACACTACATATGGATATACTCAAAGATTTTCATTTCTTGAGGGAACATCTCCTCCATCTGACACTGAGAGCCCATCTTCCATATTTCCTTTTTTTTTTTTTAAATTTCTGGTATTTATCTTGACCTGTTTTTAGTGGTGTTCTGGTATCTATCTTGGATCTTCTGAAGGGTAGCTATGCTAGGACAGGGATGGCATTGATTCATGTCTTGATGATGCAAAAAATTCCAGGTGTTTCATCTGAAAGGAGAGCACAGATGTGTTCTTTTCCTACCCAGAAACTTTACATTGAGCAACACGCATTTCAAATTGTTCTCTACTTGTTCTAAGCAATTGGCAGCAAATACTAGCTTTTGGTGTTTATTCCAATCTGTGGTGTTCCGGGAAAGTGGCTCCTCACCCCAGACATACTAAGGATTTGGGAAGGAAATATATGACAGCACATAAGATTTTTGGACAGATCTGACATACCCGTTTTTTAAAATTCTTATGGCCTAGAAGCATTCATTATACATGTAGTCTCTTATATTTCAATGCTCAGCCTTTATACAGAAATAAAGAGCGTGAAGGTACTGTTGAAGTGATAATCTATAGTCTGAATACTGAAGTGGGTTTCTTCCAATTTTTTAAAGACTCTGACAGGAGAAGGAAACAGATACTGGCATGCATCAGAGATGGGTGTATAATGGCAGGGCTTCTCCAGCAGAATGGGAAACAAAAGATTTAGTAGGTTATAAAAAGCAAAACATCTTGGTTTTGATCTTTTCTGATTTGTGTGATTTTGCATCTGACGTTGAGACCACAGAACCCTTCCTCCATAATTTCTTATAATCAAATTGCCAGGGAGAATGTGTATATCACAGTGAGATTGATATTTTTATGACAATTGATAATACCTCATGCTACTGTAGTTGTTAAATATGAAGATTAAAGGACATCCTTTGTTTCTGATATTTTGTATAATAAGAAGGTAATTTGATAAGGCTTTTGATATGGAGACAGAAGATTTGAATGTTGAGTCAGTGTCCATATCAAAATTCTGGAGGTAAGCATGGAAAAGATTTAAGGTTTCAAAATATCTGGACACGATCTCTATATTCAGAATGATAGCTGCATGCATGGTGTTTGAAAAGCCAATACATAGCAGAGTTTTAAAGGTAAAATTTGAAGCAATGATCACACACATTTTCATTACATCAGTAGTTACGCTTAGCGAATCTCTGCACATTATGGTCTGGAAGAAGTACACTCAGCACAGTTCTAATGGCAGTGATTTGCTTCTATGTGTTATGTATATATACGTGGAGACACACACACAGTCTGCAAAAAAACACAGACTGTCAAAAAACAGTCTGTTCTATCAAGTTTGTTTGCAAAAAAAAAATTAGTGTAGAATTGGGTTGGATAAATCATCTATTCTGCAGGTTTATCTTTGGCTGTCCAAATATTCATCCTGTTTCATTTATGTCAGTGACTTACCAAGTTTATCCTTCTACAGCTGTTTTTTAAGTGAAAGGATTTCAGTGTACTAAGCTGTGATGTGCTCAGATTGTGGCGAAGTTCTTTTCTAAAAAAAAAAAACAAAACTGTCATGGCTTGCATCAAAATACATGTGATTCTAGAACAAGATATTGTTGCTGAAGCAGGGCAAACAGTTTACTGTTATGAGAATGAATCTTTAGATTCAGACGGAGCATGGGGTAATGTCTGAATGAACATGCTGCCTCTTTGACTGCATAAGTGAAGCATTATTCTTTCCTTGCTCTCCTTCTCTGCTGATTAACACAAAGGAAGAGAAAACCATGAATCCTTCCTCTTTTCTTCCAGGTAGGTAGGTGAAGGAGAAGCTCCTTCTCTGCTCTGTTTAAATGAATCATTGTCAGAATAGGTTCCGTATGACTACATGAAAGCTGGAGAGCTCTTTTCTTACTCCCCTGGGTACCAGCAGAAACACAGATGTTTTCAGAGGGGCACAGTTTAAAGCATATGCCCTCATTATGGTTAGAAAGACATCATCAGTAGTGCCAATTTTCCTTTATTTTATGTATTCATTAGAAAATTTGAAGAAACTAATACTGAACGTAATGAGTTGCCATTATACCTAACTCATAGAAAATCTCTAGTACTTTGTGAGTGTGTGGCATACCATTTAAATTACAAGATCTTTATTTAATTAACTGTTTCATCTGTCTGGAAAGCACTTCCAGTGTAAAAGACTCTTCAAATAGAGGAATAACAGCTCACAGGATGCACAGAAAAAAAGATTCACAAATTTGCATCAATTCATCAATAATAAAAAGTATAAACATAGTTTATAAATGTTTTCCACTTATAAAAATGTTAATTTATTTAACCATCTGCATATGAAGGCTGTTATCCCTATCTATGTGCAATAGTGTCCACATATACACATGTGGTAAGTTTGTAGCTGTACAGTTAAAAGTTTGAGGAAAATGTGTCCTATTGCTGAGCTCTGTGACCAATGCAGAACTGTAGTGAAAGTCTCTGAAATTTCCATCCCATTCAATTTTTTATTACTGAAAATGTAGATCAGTTTGATAATAGTTGGACACAAAAAGCAATCATATTTTCAGTATGAAAATAGCGCTATTGGTTAGTAAGCTATACTACATAGATATATAAGGGCAGTAAACTGCATGGTTTTATTTTTTTTCCTTAAAAATATCTTTCTTTTCCACTCCTGCTAAGGAAGGTATGTTTCCCATTAAGATATGAAGTGAATTTGTTTTTCACTTTTGCCTTTTACATAGGGATACTGAATATAAAGGACTACAGCTCTCCCTGGATCAGGTCACAGCTACCAAGCCGGCATTCTCATACGCAAATTCAACTCTGACCATAACGGATAATAGAAAGGGAAGCAAATCTCGCCTCTCGAGCACAAAGTCAAAATCAAGGACATCACCGTACCCACAGGTAGTTGTCTTTGGAAAACAAAATTAAATCTTTTTGAATATCTTGATTTTGACTGCTTTTTTAACCCACGCAATTAGAATGGGCCAAAGAGTGCGTTACTCAAAGGGAGTAAAACACAACAGGTTATAAGATGTTGAGACAGGGATACATTTCTTCAGAATGTTTCTAAAAAGCTAGAAGCAGTTATGCTTCAGCATGCACGGTAAATCATAACCAACAACAGTAAGAGCACAGCGCTCTGAGTTAATAACGAGTGAACGAAAGGATGAGTGAAAATGTTGCTTTTGAAATACTTGGTTTGAGAGGACTGGGAGTATTGCAGTCTGAGGAAACTTGCTTTACCTTCCTTTTTGACAATTCCAACATATCTAGAAACTTGACAGATGTTTGACAGCAGTTTAACACTGAAATGTTAATCAAAAGGACTGAATTTTGGGTAGGGATAGAAACGAGTGACCTAGTTGAATTGGAACAGGACAGCTTTGGAAGAGAGAAAGAACTTATAGGTGACTACTATCAGACTTTAATTTCCCAGATTTCATTTTCATGCTTCATGTTTTAGACACATGCCCCTGCTTATAGAATGGGCCAGACTCTATTGAGTCTCTGACCTGCAGCTTGCCTAACAGATCTGTGTGGCTGTTCCACAGACAGTGCCATTGCGTTTGCACTATTACATTGCCAGCCATTTATCGCAAATAAATCTGGTTTGTTGAACTAACCATTATGTTTCCTAAAAATGTTGCACAACTTCAGCTCTTATTCCACTACGCGATGTATAGAAGAAATGATTGCATTCACGATATAACGTTGCATAGCTATATATTTTCAAAATGTCCAGATCAATATTTATCCAACAGTGAAACTGAGGACTGTAGTTTCTCTGTTCTAAACTTGCTCCCATGAGTGTACAATGTCAGCCCACATGTCTACATCATTTTTTGCTTTCTTTCCTTTTCTCCTCAAAAGTACCAAGGGTAAGAGTTTTAGAAGAATGACAGAAACTTGGAAGCTCAATTTTAAGAATCTAAATTTGCCAGACATTGTTCTGACTGTTGTTCAAACATTTGTTCACAAACATTTCTATGAGTTACTAAAGAGTAGCATTCTCACTTGAGTGCTCTACAGCAAATGATTGTAATAAAAATGATTTAAAGAATCAGAATCAGAACAATTAATTCCAAATTATATTGTTAAAGAGGATTATCTATGATTTATTGAAATTACCCTTTGTTTCACCTTGTAAGACCCTTTCAGAAGTCATCCTTTACTAGTGGGACAATTGCAAATGAAGACCTATCATCCTCGCAGCAAAGTTTGCTTTTGGCAGTATAACATTCACCAGCACCACTTCATTCTCTCTGACTCCAGAATAATTCTAGAACTAGCAGTGCAATGCTGAGACTGTTGGTTTATCAGGGATTGCTGTCTGAAAGCTGAGGGTATTTAGTCTTCAGTTTCACTTTGCATCCTTGTAATCAGCTGACTGGTAGTAAAGTCACAGATTTCATCATTCATAAGCAAGCAGCAGCACAAGTTGCCAGTATCTTGAAAAGTGGTCATACTATTCATTACAGCGCATCACCACAAGCAATGCTGGTAGCTTGGCTTTGTATCCCTCTTGTCCTCCTTAACCACTGAATAAACTGTTGAAATATTAAGAAAAGCTTTTGCAAGGATCATACAGCAGGTGGTATGGTCCGTGTCCCTCATCTCCAGCCCATGTAATTTGCCAGTAGTGAAGAATTAAAATGTGACTTGAAAGCCATGTCTGGAAAGTGAGTACATGGGTTTTGTTGTGCAAAGGAGCCTGTTTGGTTTTTTTTGTTTGTTTGTTTGTTTTTGTGGAGAAAGGAAGCAAGCAATCTATTACTAAAATAACAGCAGAGAGGAAAGTAATCTCTCAATGTTAAGGCCATCTAAGAAATTTTAAATATAAGTTGCTGGGTTTTTTTTTTTTTCCCTTTCTTCACAGCTTTTAATTTGGTACTTCACTCTTGATGAGAAAAGGGAATCACATGCTTTTTTGGGTGATGACTAAGAATCCACTCCCTTGCCAGCTGTGTGCCCTAGGAAAGCTACATGAGATGTGAACTGTAAGAAAACCATGTTAATAAGTTTCAGATGAATATTCAGTTCTAGGGCAAAAAGGGAGTGTTTTGGTCACCTAACAAAATGATAACGTGTGGGTTTTTTTTATCCCCTCAAACCTAATGCAAAAACAGGCATATTGCAATATGGTGCTTTTCAGTGAGTTCATTACATTGAAGGCACTGGTCATCATCTGATTAACACTGGTTGATACATACTTAGTGGTCATGCAGACACTGTGAAACCTGTCCCAGGCAGGGATAGGGTGAGCAGAGAGGAAACTAACTCAAAATTCATGGCACAGCACAAGGATTTGCCAAAGCACTATGAACAGTTCTCTTACAGTTCTGTCCAACTAGAGTGGAAGGGAGCTGATAGAGGAGGTGGAAAAACTGGAGATGAAGACTTGATAGAGGTATGCAGGAAAAGGAAACTGTGAGTTGGTTAACAGTTATCTACCCATCATTGCCCATAATAATAATAATAGTAATAATAATAGCCATGGACTTTCAAAATCTAGTCCTGGACCTCATTTATTTTGTGTTATTAAAAGCTAGCCCTGGACTTCATTTATTCTGTAAACAGGAAGAAGCAACAAGAATGGAAAAGCATTTTAATTGTGATCATCTGAACAGTTGCTTTGGAGTTTAGTCTCCCATTAATGATGATTATTTTAAGAAAATATTTAAAATTGTCTGTTGTCTGTCTCTAATGAGAATGTTTTATGGTCAATCTGGATAAAGTTTTATTGCTTCGTATCTTATCTTGGTTCTTGGATAAAGATCATATAAATACATATAATATATATATATTTAGTGTATATGTAATGAGAAAGCACACATAGGGATGTGCCTATTAACAGTTGGATGGGGACTTTGGTCTGCGTTACAGCATTCACAAATTTTTGGAAGTAATAGATTTCTCCAGTAGTGTATATTAGTTATTGCTAACTCACCGCCACAACTGATAGTGGAGGTAAGCTAACTTTATGACTACTTTAGACAAATAATCTAGGTTAATTCTGCAATCCACCACTACTGGACATATCCCCTCCTCCTTTAAAGAACTAGGTAGAGACATTGGAAACAGGTTGAATTCTAGTCAGCCTTTCATTTATCATTTCTTTCTGTAGCCTAAGGCTGTGGTAACTTTTAGCATATTCAAAAGCAAAGCAAAGCCCTCTTTTTATAGTAAACATAACTCCTGATCTGGTGAAGAGTCACCAGCAGTGGGGGTTATTTTAATGGACATGCTGTATTACTTTAATCTAAGCCTTTCACCATCTGTGTTGTCTATAATAGTGAATGCAAAAAGAACATATTTTACATTTCAGGATTACATTAGTAAAAAGTAAGATAAAAGTGATTTAAAAGCATGCATATGTTCTTAGTACAATGCTGCCCGCATCTGTGATGTTTTTTTTCTCATGGTTAAGACAAAAATCAAGAGGAAAGCTGTTAATGCTAATGTAGTGAAAGTTTTTCATGGAAAAACGAACTCTCAGAGAGTTTCACTGTATATTTTGTGTTCATAACAATAAAAATCTGAGCAGGCTGACAGAAAATTAGATAACTATAACATCTACTGTTTGAACATTTGACAGTGTGTGTGGAGAAGGCTGATGTTGCTGCATGTGACAGAATAAGTGCTTAAGCCATTCAGATACCTGTAAGAATGAGAGATCAGGCAAAAGAATATGACTCAAGAAATATTAAAATCATCTACTGGCCTAATTCACTTCCATGGGTTCCCTTAAAGTAAGCTTGTCTCAAACATCAAATTGGTATTTTCCTGTTCCCTTGCCCCTTCAGCTCTTCTGAAGTCTTTCTTCAAGTAAAAGGAGCATCTGTGATGGCCAATAGCTCCTTTCTGTGTCAGTGCTAATCCTGCTGGTGTGGCCTCACTGCTTTTGTACACTGAAATAACACTCTGGAAGACAGTTCCAGAGAGAAAGATTAAGAAAAAGATTTGCAAATCTCCATTTCTGAGACAACTGGGATTGTCTAGTCTGGAGAAGAGGAGGCTCAGAAGAGACCTTATGTTCTCTACAGCTACTTGAAAGGAAGTGGTGGAGAGGCAAAGGATGACCTCCTCTCCCATATAACTAGTGAAAGGACTAGAGGGAATGGCCTTAAGCTGCACCAGGGGAGATTCCGGTTGGATATCAGGAAAAATTTCTTCAAAAGAGCGGTTAGGGGTTAGAACAGGCTGCCCAGAGAGGTGGTTGAACACTGTACTTGGAAGTGTACAAGAAATGTTTAAATGTTGTACTAAGGGACATGGTTTAGTGGGGAAATACTGGTGGTAGTTGAAGGCTGGACTAGATGATCTAGGAGGTCTTTTCCAATCTGAGGATTCTACAATTCTGTGATTTCTAGTATTTGGAACAGCTGGAGGACCATTTGATTTATTTATTTTGTTCTTTATGCTAGAAGACAATTTAGAAAACATCTGAAGTTATTGCCTGTCTGAAGAAGTTCTTCATGATGTTTAAGTTCTCTTCTGATTAGACTTCAACAAAGAACAAAGCTAATAAATTCTACTGAGAGAAGACAAAGGGCAAAAATGGCAGAAAGGAAAACATTTTTGGTGAGGCAGGACTGAGATTAAGAAAAAAATGTTTTCATTAGTTTTATTTGGCCAGAATTTTCATTAAATCAAATTGTGTTTTCTATGGTCTTTCATCACTTGGCATATGGGAGCCTAATTCTGACATGAGAGATAGTGTTTCCACTGCCATCTCAGTAAAGCAGTATCTTTGATCATCCTTTCATTTCTCCCCCCATCAACTTGTCACGCATGCCTTTATTTGGAGACTCCACCTGTCAACATCAAATTCCCAGGAGAGGCAGTCTAAGGACTGCAGCAGTAGAGGCAGTCTAATGATGCCAAATTGAGATGTAATTAACTTTGAAAGGAATTTGACATATTTTTGGCCTACGTCTGCTTCTGTTCTACCTTAAGAATATAAGCAGTCATACCAAACATCGGTGGACAACACTGGCCACAAGCAGTTCACAGTGTTATTTTAATTCTGTGCATGGCCTAGCAGCTGCCAAGGGTCAGATCTCAAATAATCATCATTTACATCAAGTACAAAGAAAATGCATGAAGCATTGTTGGTCTTGTCTACATGGTTATATGACATTACATGGTGCATTTCTGACATGCTGAACATAGACTGTTTGATATGGTTTCTCATTCTTGTAAAAGTCTGTGCAACTGAATCCCTTCTGGTTAGGACCAAGATTTAAAAAGAAAAAAAACATCATTTTTTCAGTTAAATTAGCTTCCTCGAAAGAAGCCAAGCTGGGCCCTGCTGCATCCTTAAAAGCAGAGAATAGATGGAAGAATATACAGTAGAGCCAAATGAATTTCAGAATTTTCAATTTGAAAGATCTTTGGCAATTAGTACTCATTTATTACCATCATAAGTTGTCAAAAAATATGAAAATTCATGATAAAATTATTGAGAAATATATTTTCTTGTCCTTCTCATGAAAGGAGTCCTGGTTTTGTTTTTAATAAGAAGATAAATCAACTTTCAATATTTTTATACTTAAGATTTATATTTATATCGTCTTACATTTCTGTTTGAAACTTTTTCAATTACAAAAAATCTAGTTTATAAAAAATAATTAAAAAAAAAATAGAAAAAGAACCCACCTATAAATAATACCAAAGGTAAGAACAGGTACAAAAGCAGTTTTTTGTTTTGTGAATTTCTATCCTAGCAAAAATTGCATAGTTATTATTTTCTTTTTTTTTTAATTGTAACTTCATTTTGTCCATATATTTTCTTAAAACATTTACAGTAATTTAGTTATTATTTATGAAGACATATTTGTGACTAAGCGGTTTGAAAATGTTAGATTTGAAAGGATAGCAGAAAAGTTAAGTGTACCAGTTGATTACTTAAAAATATGATGGCTGAATAGAATTCCTAATTATCTTGAGCTGCTGAAATTTAAAAGAGTTCTTTTGTGGCTATCTAACTATATTACTTTCATTCAAAGTTAGATGTATTCTTTCATTATTAAAACGTAGCAGTGAGTATGGTGATACTAGCTTGCTGGCCTCCTCCATGTCTACCAGAAAGTTTTCTGCCTACAGGTATTCTATCAAATACTAACAAAATATAATTTACTACTTCAAAGCCATGACCCTTTCTTTCTTGCCTTTAAATAGCCTATCTTGTTTACAAACAGTATTCACAAATATGAACTGGAATAGTGAAGCAGTACCCAATTAAATGCCAAAACTGAAGTAGTTTCACTACTGATGTTGCACAGATGGTTTAAGTTTCTGAAAGTCAAACATCTGGTCAATACTTTCAGTTGGTAAGTGCATAAAACCTTGATCCTGGCTGATAATGAGGAGTTTCATAGCAACTCAATCTAATGAAAAGGAAGGTAAGTTTATGTTTTCAGGAGAGAGGCCTAATGCCTATTAAAAGAAAAAAACAGAGTGGGCATCTGGAAGGTGAATGATGGAATGGGAGAATTCCAAGGTTTCATGCTGTAATACATTGATTTGTGACATGAGTATGCAGTATTGAAGAGGTGAGCATGTATGGCTTTGGTCTCATCCCAGACTGTAATCATGGGTGAAATTGATTTAAAGATGTTCCACGCAGTTTGACATTTCCAATAAATAAAAAGATTAAAAAATGAGATAGCTAAATCCTAGGAGGTTAAACAAAAATTCTTTTTTTTTTTCTCTCCCAGGAAAGTATCCAAAAGTTTCAAACACTTACTAAGAATATCTAGAAATTTATGGAATTTTACTTAATCCTTATTTCTGCCATAATAACATTCATTCTCCTACTCTGTCTGTGCTTTTCAAACTGCTGGCTAGTTCTTTTTTTTTTTGTCTTGGGATGGCTCTGCTTAAATGAGGGTGACAAAATGTTTGCTCTATATGCTTTAGCAATCAGGTTTTTTTTTGTTGTTGTTGTTTTTTTTTTTTTCTGGCAAAAAATTGCTGGGTTTTTCTTATACCCACTTCACAGCAGATCTGTGATTTCTAATCTCCTACTAACCTACTATTACTTTTGAGCTTTTCTCTTTAGTAGTTTGGGGAGTCCCAGTATCTACAGGAAAGTTTCTTGTCCCAAATAATAGCAGAAAATAAGTTTCAGAATATCCAAGGTAAGAAAAAAAATGGAAAAGAGAAGGGACTTTGGGAAAAAGAACTTGCAAACACATTCAGTTTCAATTTGACATGAGAGAATGCTCTAGGAGTGGTGTTATAAAAAAAATACTTTTGCAGAAGAGCCTTGGAGCACCATTGTTGCACATAAGCAGCAGCTTTCAAGGCAATGAGAAAAACCTGGACATATTAAAAAAATATTGACTTGCCACACTGTTGTTGGTGATCCTAATATCACACATCATAAAAGAGATGGCTATTAAGGGCTGACATGGGATGTTTTAGACGTTCATGATGTCTGTCCTGTCATCTGTGAGCTCATTAAGGATGTAATGCAGGAAAGGATGAGGAGTCCCATCAGAAGGTGAAGACGTGTGGGCATGCTAATGAAAAACGCTCTATTCAATGCATACTCTCTATATTTCCAGTGCCGATACTTCAGATTTCATTGATTCTCAGTAAATTCCCTGCTGTTTCTCCTGTTTTTCAGTACTCTGGATTTCACACCGAGAGATCTGAATCCGACCATGAGAGCCAGTGGGGTGGGAGCCCCCTCACCGACACAGCCTCTCCCCAGCTGTTGGAGCCTGTGGACAGGCCAAGCTCCCAACATCACGATGTCTCCTGTGCCTACAGACAGTATTCGGACCGCAGTGCTCTCTGCTATGGTTTTGCACTAGATCACTCAAGGCTAGGCGATGACAGACATTTCCATACTCAGGCCTGTGAGGGAGGCAGATGTGAAGCTGGCAGATACTTCCTTGGCACACCGCAGCCAGGAAGGGAAGGCTGGTGGGGCTCCCGATCAGCCTTACCCCTGACTAAGTCTTCCCCTGAAAGCAGAGAAGCGTATGAAAACAGTATGCCCCACATAACTTCAGTGCACAGGATTCATGGTAAGAGATAACGGGATTTTCAGAAGTGGTACTTTCTCAAATGAAGCAACAGTTTCAAAGTCATGACACAAGTGGGCAACTCTATGCAAGATAGAGGAAATAACGCATGTTCCTAACTCAGAGGTCATGGGTATAGATATGAGAAATACTTATAATTCAAGTTGTTTAACAGACTGCTTAGCATGCAGCAAAATATACGTAGGTTGCTCCAAAAGTAATGCCTCCTATTTATTTCCACGGAAACTGCAGCAGCTAAGAGTAGTGTGGTAACAGTATTTGTTAGAGCAAATTCTCAGCTTCAAAATACTATTTTTCAACACAGTAACCCACCATTAGGTATCTGTTGGGTTGCACCCTCAGTGTATTAGCACAGTTTCAGAAAGTGAAACTGATCAAAACGTCAAGGAAAGGCTGATTTTGTGTTTTGATAAATCCAAAGGCCCTTAGGTTTAAAAGGCAGTCTGAGAGATGAAAGATTGCAGCTGACACCAAAATCAGAGTTTAAGGTTGTAAGGGCAGATGTATCGTAAAGTGCTGCTTTTCTATTAAAATAATCTATCAAACACAGGTTGTATCTAAAGAATTTGTAAGAGCTAATTAGCACAGTTCCATTGACTTGCAGAATAAGCCCTTTGGAGATAGAGAAGAACGGTTCTATTTTACTGTAATCTGAGGTAAATTGTCCTGGAAAGCAAGGAGTCTACCATGGACATTCCTGATGACTTCACCACAGTTCACTTGCCTCTGTGTAGTTTTCTGTCTGCAAAACAATGTTCAGAGTGCATGTTTTTAAAGACTGCTTGTTTCCTTCAACCCCAATTTTTGTTGTATTTCTCTCTTTCCTAGGAAGAGGACACTGGGATGAGGACAGTGTTGTTAGCTCACCTGATCCTGGCTCTGCCAGTGAATCTGGTGACCGATACCGTGCTGAACAGTATCAGAGCAGCCCACATGAGCCCAGCAAAATTGAAACTCTAATAAGAGCCACCCAGCAAATGATCAAAGAGGAAGAAAACAGGCTACAGTTACGGAAAACAACCCCTGATCCACTAATCTCCATTAACGGCACAGGGAAGAAACATACAATTTGTTTTGCAAACTACCCGCAGCAACAGTTGGCAGGGGATATCTGCCGCGTCCCGACAGTTGCCAACACTCCTCCCTGCGAACACATCCAGCAACGGGATGGAAAGATTATGAGCCCTCATGAAAATGACTATGACAACAGCCCCACAGCACTGTCTAGGATAAGCAGTCCCAGTTCTGACCGAATATCAAAACCTAGCTTGGTTCTGGCTAAAGACTACCTGAATACAGACATGTCCCCTCATCAAACGCCAGGTGATCATCCAGCAGCTTCTCCAAATTATTACAACTCCCACAGGCAGTACTTTGATAAACATGCTTACACATTAACTGGGTATGCCCTGGAGCATCTATATGACACTGAAACCATTAGAAACTATTCACTAGGCTGCAATGGATCACACTTTGATGTGACTTCTCACTTAAGGATGCAGCAAGATACAGCTGCAGGACACAAAGGGACATCTGTTATAATAACCAATGGAAGCTGACACTTTTTTCTAAAAACTTTTGTGCTTTAAAAAGTAACCTTAGAGATCTAATTGGAAGATATAATATGTTTTCATGCCCTTGTCATTACCAGCATTTGATATATCACAGTGCACTAGAGAGACTAACCTAAGGTTTGGGAAGACGAGTTAGTTAACAAATGTTACTTTTAAAACATAAAAATGCACTGGCATGCAGGGTTAGAGGGAATGGAGCTAAACTCAAAGTTGGTGCCATTTGAGGTGTAAAAGATGGAAGAGATCTAGGTAGGGAGAACCTGGGCAGGCTAGCAGAGCCATTTACATGCACTGTACAAGAGGGGTTGTTTTGGAATTGCTGCCCAGAGCAGACCTTCTGAACCGTGTCTGTTCCACACATCCCAGGTAACAAAACTGCTATGCACTATCACAGAAAGTTGGAATGTGATCCTGTAAAATACACATCAAAATGTGTATTTCTGGCTATCTTTTTATTCCCTAAAGGCCAAGGGTGTTATGCTGCTCCATGGTATAAAGCATCCATGGCCAACCAATACAAAATCAAAAAGGGGAGAAAGAACTCAGATTTGTTATTTTCTTGTGTACTCACATGCATAGTTATTTACATACACTTGATTTGAAAGGAGTCAAATGAGCAGTATCCTCATAATTAGAATAATCAAATACTATGAGTGTATTTAAAAGAAAGAAAGAGGGTCTTTCTCAGTGTAGTTTTGAGAAATGTCTGTCTTGATGGAGAGATGGGAGATTGCCCTCATTTTTGAAAGGTTGCAAAAAGGGGGAAGTGGTGTGAAATGGAAAAAAATCCTTGAGAGAAACAGAGAGAATAGACTGGATGTAGGAGTGGTCAAAGATACACACATTTAACCCTATGGCTATGTATGACATTCAGTAATATTTACAGCATAAGAAAAAGTGCTTATAAATTGCCAAATAATGAAGAATCAAATCAAAACACAAAAGAACTCAATAGAATAAGAAATTTTTCTGTAAAATACAAAAGCAACTGCACCGCTATAAGAACATGGCAGGAATAGATAAAAACATCATGGAGGTTTGTCCTAATTTTGTACAAGTGTTGTAGCAAATTAAGAAAGCATAGAAGGTTATAAGTATTCTGACATAAAGAGGAGTAATTGGTATGGCTTTGAAAAAGTAATATACATTGTTTTCTTCATTACAGCAAAAAAGAAAAAAGAAAAAAAAAAGAAAAAAAAGGATATATGAACGTATTAGGAATACCAAAATCAGTCATATATAAGGAAAAAAATTACTGAGGGAAACTGGGGTTCCAAAAATTTCAACTGCATTACAAATATTGATATTATCATTGCCTGTCCTGGTGTTATAGAAGATATCAAAAGAGGCAGAAAAAATTTCTGTGATTTTTAATAATCTCATGAACAAAGAGTCACTAACTGATTAGAAAAGATTCAATAAAAAAAATATGCTAAAAAAGTAAACTAAGTTATTTGTAGGCAAGAATATTAGACCTGTGCTTCTTTTTATGGCATTTACAAGACATCTCAAAGTTGACTGCAACAGGAACAGGACCAGCACTCCTTATTATATCAAAATGAAGGTAAGAGGACTTGAGGTGGTTACAAAAATGAGATTAGCACTAAGTCAAGCTTCATTTGTACCCATGAAGAATTTCAACATATGGGATTGAGTCATCAGTGGAACTAAATATAAAGCAGCATGCTATGGGTGGGTTAAAAATATCTATTTTCAAATAAAATTAATGAGAAGCAAAAGCTAAATAATAACATTGTAAGCCGCGTAAGTATAGATGTACTTGAAAGTAGAGGAAATTAACTCTCTGAATGTGGAATATTGTGTATAGTTCTGATCACTCCAAGGCAGATTGTGAATCTTGAATTGAGTAGTACCTTACTCCATAAGCAATCTCTATTGACTGCAGTGTGATCACTCCTGGTGAAATGTACGTTGAACACAAGGAAGAGCAACAGTCTGTTTTTTATTATCTAAAGCCCATAATAGAAAAGGTGGAGCAGAGCTCAGCAAAAAGATAAAGAGACTGAAAGATCTAATAAAAACTTTAAATAAACTGGGTCTGTCATCTTTGTAACGGAAAAAAAGTATGGGGTAATGTCACTGGTGTTTACCAAGCTCTGCACAGAAGAGAGATAAATAATGCTCTAAAACTATTTGAACTAGTGACAGAAATGAGAGAGGGCATTGAATGTTAGCCAAAGTAAAATGAGAACAAAATTATTTGGCAAGAAATGTATTTGACTAACTGCCAAATGAATAGAAGGTCTAGAGATTTTTGTTTGTTTGTTTGTTTTAAGATAAAAGCAAAGCAAATAATTGAAGGGGAGAAAAACACCGACAACCCGTAACTCAGAGGTAGGAATGGATCAAAATGGACTTCTTTCAGCCCAACAATTGTATATCTTCCAAAAGCATAGTAACAACAAAGTATTTTTGATAAATCCAGCTCTGGATAAAACTTTATTTCACTTGTTCATAAGAATAATATGGATGAACTTGTATTTGGAGTCTCCTTGTACAGTATTAAAATACAATTTGCAAAGCGGAGTAGAGGTACATGGTATCGTATTATCCTTACTAATACATACAAAAAAGAAGTCTAACTATCAATATTATTTTGTATTACTGAGGAATTTCTGTTTAGATGAGTGGGATTCTGTCAGCACTAAAGGATTTTAGGGTCATCAAGCACCCTTGTTATCAAACTTTTAATTAGAAGGCAATAGGGTTTTTGAGATCAGCTTGTCTAATGGTCTAATGGCCACAAGTAGTCAGGAGAAGATAGTTTGGGCATTCTGATAGGCACTTTGGAAAAACAGAAGACTTATACAGCAGGCAGGCACAATATAGAATATTTCTATCTGTACAATTTCATCTAGGAAAAAGCCAGTGTGCTGTGCAATAAAAGAAATCCCCATTGCCATTTAAGTTCAAAATAAAAACTTCAAAACTGTTGTTACTTCTCCTATTTTCAACAGTACCAGTCCACTACAGTGATAAATGCAACATAATGCACTGTAGTAACTAGGATACCTGATATATCAGTAGAGAGGTAGAAGAGTCTGTTTCTGCAGCTATGTTCTGCTACAGGCATAGGCTGATGCTCAGTTCCCTCCTGGAGTTTCAGCAGCTGTTGCTCCTCAGCACTTCAGTAGATGCCTTTTGTTAGCTACTTTGCTATTCTGCTGCTTTAGATAGCCAGAAATTTCTTCTGAATTGACAGAAAGCACTGAATGTTGTAAACATAGACTCTGCATGCTACATGCTACTTGTGCAAATTTGCAACCTTAATTATAGCATATAATATCACTGCAGCTCATATAACATATACTTTTAAATATGGTATAAAGCTTACCTTTTCCACAGTGTATTTATTTAATTTGAATTTTCATTAGTATCCTTTAGAGATATAGCTTTTTTTCCCCCCTTTCTTTTCTAAATCAAATGGAATATTTCAGAAAATTGAAAAATGCAGTTTTTGTACCAAATACATAAAATCTATCACATTAACTAAAGGTTATCACTTTAAAGCAGATATGTAGGTTGTGAATTGAAAAAGAAAAAATAAAAATTGATGTGCTGTGTCATTTCTCTAACATAAAAGTGCTTTGCTATTTACAGCAAATTAACATTTTGTAGCTACTCCGTGAAGTGACGACAGCTCTCTTAAATAATTTCTTATTGACATCAGTGGATGGTGCATTATGACTTTGGTGTATCTTTTTTAAAGTGGAAAAAACCTCCCTAATTTTATTCTTTAAAATTACACTGCCAGAATGCAACTGTGAACAAATTTGCACAACAATTCTTTAGTTAGAAAACGAACCTTACTCAGCAACTTGTCCCATTGACTGTAATGGGAATATCTGTGGAGTAAGGTACTACTTAAAATGTGTAAGGGCCAAAAATGTTGACTTCCTGTGAGCTGGCAACAGGTTTGTGTCTTTGTTTGTTTGTTTTGAATCTCAAAATATGAGTATGGAAACAATGAAAGGTGATGGCTGTAATGGCTATGGTTCTGTGATAGAGTTTATTTGTATGTGCTTTGAAAACAAGCGCATCTCTGCATGGAAGAGGCTCAAATGTATTTCCTTAAGATTCATAAGGCTTTGCTGATGTATCCACACAGTACTGCCACACTGAAACTCTTTTCTTTCTAACATTCTTAATCACTTTTATCTGAATCTTATTTTTATTTCTGGACTTGCAGCATTTATTCATTAATGTTCCTAAATATATTAACTACCATATGTTCAATTATGTGAACATCCTGAGTGAACTGGGGGGAAAAAAAGTATTTTCGGAAAAGGAGCAGGCACTCCAGAAAACCAGACTGGGTGTTGTGAAGGCCAGTTAGCCTTTCTGTTGAGGAACAAATCTGAGGTGTATGCTTGAGTTTTAGACCTTCTGCAGAATCATGTCTTGCAATGAGACCTACCTATGTCTGTCCTAATGTGGCTGTAGTTAATACCAACAATTCAGGTTCTGGTATTTCCATGAGTTGCAAATTTAGTTGAAACACCTAAGGGGCTAAAGGCAGTGCAGGCACTGTTGTCAGGATCAATGGCGGATGAACAACCTTTTCTGTAGGTATACTGGATTAGCTTCAGACACCTTCACAATGTGAAAGAGGACCTCTTTTATATGCAGGTAATATTGGTGGTTAAATATTCTGGCCATATGCACTGAGAAGCAAAAACAAAGCAAAACAACGAAAAAGCCAAGCCAAACCTGAAGCAAAAAAACCCACATTTTTTTCTGTAATCCAATGGTACGATGTTGATATAGCCTGCTAGAGGAGTAGCTGAGTGTTTAGCAAAGTGTTTTTACCAAGCTGTTATTCTGAAGGCTAAAAGCTGATACAGTCTTCTGTTTGGAATGATGCGAGCACTAGTGTGACTCCATTTCACGTTTCCTTGGAGCATTTATTAATGAAGAAATTATGTGAGGTTAACTTCACAGTGGCATTTAGCATATTTGTACAAGAGTCCTGTGGATAAATCTGGCTCCAAGTTGCTAGGAATGCATCCTTTTCTGAAAAGAGGTAATTTATGACTCCATCTATGAAACTGCATTTGAAAAGAAAGATCAAATACAGGCAGAAGCAAAGCTTTCTTCTGATCAGATTCAGTAACTCCCTTCTCATATGGAATTATAAAGATTTCCTGTTGTTCTAGGATTCAAAATGCAGCTTTTAAAGATGTTTATTTATTGCAATTTGAATTGCATGTGATTTTTTTTTTCCAGACGCCAATATACTGGGAAGTTTGGAAACGCAAGAAACAGTCTTGCTTACACCATTTAAAACATATGCACTTTTGCATTTAAAGGAAATAAAATCTATTAGGAAATGTTCTTTTAAGGCACTGAAACTTTTTCCCAAGGTAAATATTTCAATGCATAAAATATGCTAATCTAACAAAAAGAAAAAAAAAAGCACTTGAGACATACTGAAATATTTCATGTTTGCTTTAAACCAATGAGTTATACTTTTGGAAAAAAAACACAGACTGCCAGCATTTTAAATACCATGCCTTGCAATGTATAGGGTCTAGTGACATTGTAGCATAACATCTGTAATTGGAAGATTTCCTTTGGAATGTAATGTAGGAAACACAATTTAGCTTTGTCAACAATATCTTGCAAAGTGTTCCCATTTATAATTATTTATATTGTAAATAACTTTCTGAAGTAAATTTGAAGTTAATGTGCATAAGATGTATTTATTATGTGAAGATTTTTTTGGTTTAAAATATAGCTGCCAATATGCAATTTTTGTCTGTTTTTCTGCATTTTTAAATTAATAATTGTCTCATAGAGGATAAATATTCAGGCATTAGTTTTAATTAATGAGACTATTTTTCAGACTTGGGAGGGTGTGTGGGAAAAGTCATTTTTTTTATACCTGTCAGTCCTAATGTAAACTTTGAATCTTGAATGCAGTTTATGAAGGTACGAAGGAATACAGATAATATACTGCTAACTTATTTAGGAAAGATATCTGAATCTGCTCAGGTATTACTCTGTCTGGAAAAGCCAACTCACAAGGGCTATATCAAGATTAACTAACTGTCTCCTCCTTGAACACTCTACTCCGCTACTTGAAGCCTCACACTACCACCATGCCTCAGTTTGCTGTGTTGTGACAAAGGAATGGAGGAGAAGTTACACAAAATTGCATTCAAGCCCTAGTTGGCTACTTCTTGGCTTCACATATCTGTACACCTCAATCAAGTCACAGTAACGTAATCTGCTGTTCGCTTTCTAAGCCGGTCTCTGAGCCATCACTCCCTATCCTTTCAGTCTCTCTCACTGAAACTCATTCCTGGTGGTGAGCAAATATGAGATTGATGGTGCCAGGGGGCAGTGAAAGCCTGGTTCTGCAGCTGAGTTAGAAAGCAGCTTTCTAGGTGAGGAAGTACTTGATCGCATATTTTCTATTCACAAGACTCAGGTTGAAAACTAAAAGCAATGGGGATAGGGATGAGGTACATAGAAGAAGCAGTTTGTAGTCTAAGGTAAATTAATTTCAAAAAGAGAAGATGCAAGTACTGTCACTGTGTCAAGTCACACTGTGTCACTGTCACAGGTGTCACTGCAAGTACACAAGCATTCAGTTCTCAGAGATGCTCCTCAGATTTGGTAGTATTTTACAGTGTAGTGTTAGATGTTTAACTGCTTTCATGCTTTAAGTATTTCCTATCGGATAGTTTAGGCAGCTTCCCTCTCTTTGGCCTGAATTTGGCCTTGATTCTTTGTGCAGGCAGGAAATGGTATCAGCTTTTCCCAAACAATGCAAAACACGTGTTCCTTTCCCTTTCCCTTTCCCTTTCCCTTTCCCTTTCCCTTTCCCTTTCCCTTTCCCTTTCCCTTTCCCTTCCCCTTCCCCTTCCCCTTCCCCTTCCCCTTCCCCTTCCCCTTCCCCCTTCCCCTTCCTCTTCCCCTTCCTCTTCCCCTTTCCTTTTCACCTTTCCTTCCCTCCACCTTGCCTCCCCTCCCTTGTGTGTACTTGTGTGTTGAAAGTCCATCAACATCTATAGTTGCTCTTCAGTCACTCTTTTAGGGCATAAATTTTCTCATTACCCACTAGCCTTTGTTCAGTCTCAGCTCTGATATTCATTGGCAAATTGCTTCACATTGAGGAAATCTGCTGTCATAGCCATTGTAATAAAAGTGTGTGATACCATCAGGAACTTCCTCTATCCCCATATGGTGGCCATCAGAGGCTTCAGCATCAGCAGTTTCATTTGATACATCTTTGACTTTCAGGAGGTCACAAATAGCCTGCTGCTCTGCAGCCCAGTGACGCTATGACTGTGTGAATTAAAAAGGGCTATCCACTCCAGCATAAAGCCCAAAAGACTGCATGCTCTCTTCATGGATGTTAATGTTAGTAGAAATTTCACTAGGCATGCACACAAGATTTGCATGTTCTAATAGTCTGCCTAGTTCCACAGGCAAAGGCTAGTACTGTCTTTCTGAAGCACCATGGACTTTTGACTGGAGCTAAAGGAGAGTGCCCTGAACAGCATGCTCCCTATTGGAGCTTGCTGCATGCTTCACCATCTCCAAAAATCTGATGGGAAGCCACTTAATCAGTAGAACAGGATGAGAAAGAAATTCAGGGCTGCCTGAATCCTAGCTTCTAGACACTGCATCGAATGATCTTGGCTCCCCAAATGCGGTCTTCAGGGCACATGTGCCAGTGTGGTCAGAAGACAGGTGCAATGGTATGCATACATGATGACAGCTGGGTGTGACCAGCATCAAGCAGTGCTCACCCTCGCAGCCACTCTCTCATTCTGCCTGTAGTCTGTTGTGGCCTTTCTCTGACCGTCCTCTCATTTTGGCTCCCTGAGGCAGTATCTTCCCCATTTCACTCTTCTTCCTCCTGCCCAAACCCTGGCCTGATGTATGACTTCTCAAATCCTGTGATCCAGCTTGCCCAGCAAGCTTCCTCTGTTGATCTTGAAAATCAAGTTCCCTTTTCATGATGAAAATTGTTATTTGGCAACAGTTTCCATCACTGGCACTGTTCCTTCCCTTTCTCTTCTTTATGCAGCTGGTGTAAACACAGCACTGAGGACTGTGCAAGCTCTTTCTCACAAGCATTAGTTCTGCTATGAGAATGCTATTGGTTGTGGTAATAGAGGTGATGAACTTTTCAGAAAAGCAACAGACAAAAGATGATAGATGCCTTCAGCATATAAAGTACATGTTACTTTTGCTGCAGTGCAAAATGTAGTCACTCTTGGTTTACAAATAGAAAATAAAGATGAACACTGAAACAAGAAGATCTATGTCTGAATTGAAAAATAACAGCAAAAACTTAAAAATCTCATTTTTATGTGTACTAAATTATATACAAACACTTAAATATTCATTCTTAATATTTGTCTCATTATTATTCATTTGTTCCTTATTATTATCATGAGACATCATCGGCTTTGTCCATTTTATCATTATCAACATTTGTTACTCTTTTTCATCTATAAATTAAATTAAAAAAAAAGTCTACATTAAAATAATATTAATATATCTGATATCAGAAACTTGGATGTGGCAAATAAAAACCAAACAGGATCAGCCTACTCTAATCTTTCAACAGGATACAGCCCCATTATTTGGTACCCAGTGTATCAGGCAGTGTACCTCATATAGCAGCCATATTTCACTCCCAGCAATATTTCTAGTATTATCAGTATGACATGCTTGGTAACTATACCAAAGCTGGAAATTATACCAAATAAATTTGTACATTATTAAATGAGTTACATTTGCTTATTTTTAGTTATGTTTGGCTTTGTTTTGTTTCCGAAAATGAGAAACATGATGAAACAGCAAAGCAAGCTGAAGGTTCTTTTTTAAGTTCAACACTTCCTCTTTTCCCTTGAGGGGCAGTACCAGAGATCATTTAATTCAGTTTCAAAGGGCAGACTGGAATGTTTCTGTGACTTCTTTTATCTCCTTTGAAGCTTGAGGTGGTTATAAACCGGTTGCCCTCCTGGCATGCAGAGAGCAATGCAAAGGGTCTGGAACAGTGGTGAGCATCTCACTGCAATTCAAAGTCATTTATTTACATTAGCATGGTTGATTCTGTGAGGTACAGCAGAGTATAGCAGGTCAGGCTGCTGCCTTTCTCCTGCACTATTATTTTTGCAAATGATAAATATAAGGAAGGAGGCAGCAGAAGATGTGACACTATGCTTTGTCTCCCACAATGGCACTTTGACACTTTTTGTCTGGAAAATGGAGTGAAGGTCCAATGGACTATTTTCATCATAACAGAGTGAATGCTTGTCCAGTGGAGTCCTGCTTGTATGCAGACAGACAAGGTGAGTTTTGTACCAAAGTGTGCTTGGGCACTGACAGTGGGGCAACTGGTGGCACCATGTTTGAGTGTACAAGCCAGCCAAAATCCTATCCATGAGGGCCAGTGTTTTCCTGGTTGGCAATGTGCCCTATAGAAGGACAGCAGTATTTGTGTGTGCTGAGCCTTTTGCTGCTTTCCTTTCACCTTCATGTCCATTTGGTGCCCAGGGCAGGGAGGGCTGAAACTGAAAACTTCTTATGTAGTCATTACACGAATCAAATCTATTTTTCATTTGAAGCTTCCTATATCTGATTCTGGCACAAGACATTTCATCAAGTTATGAATTATTTTTACAAAAGCAGGACCATGTCTCGTCTGTCTGGGTTCTCTGCAAGACAGTTGTGGCATTTTTTATTTTTTTTTACAAATGCCTGTGAGAGGTATCCTATGTGTTTTTAATTTGGAATGCATCAGCGAGGTGAAAAATACAGCATTAGTGTTATGACTATTTTAGTCAAGGGCAAAGCTGTGCATTTTGATGTTATGTTTCTGCCTTTTCTTTAATCACAAAGGCAGATCCTTTCTTCTGTGCCGCTTTCTATTTAACCTCCAGAACAACTGCAAAGTATTAGAATGGCTCCAGTATCCTCTCCAACATGAATATTTCTTGAGCTCAAGAGAAATGCCCACGGTTTCATTAGGCTGGTTATCTGACAGTCTGCTCATAGAAAACAGCTGATTCTTATTTTTATAACTGAACAGCTTTGGCTTCCTGTGATCAATCTTCCTGGCTACAGCAGTAAACATGCTGAAGTGCAGGTGCCAGAAAGCTTTGAGACAGTCTGAGGCATGAATGCTGACCCACGGTTGCGCTTTGTTGTGCTTTGTGTATCATCAATAGCCTACCTTGTGTAGGACTATTTGGCCTATTTGTTAATGTGTTTTTTTAACTTAATGCATGCTTATTTACTTATGGAATTAGATTCAGTGTGGGAGAGATGCAAAACAGCCAGTGGTTTAGGAGTTTAGTAAATAATCTAAGCTTTGTTCAGCCTTGCTCTGGGTCAGGCTGCTGCATGGAGTAATTCCATATGGCAACCTGATTTGAGCTTACTCAAAGTAAACCTTAAAATGGATTTTGGCAAAATCCATCCAGCCATCAGGAACCCATTCTCAGTTTCTGCTGAGGATTTCCTGATAGCTTTCTTCATTTAAAAAAAGAAACAACAAAACACAACAGAAAAAAGAAAAACGTTGAAACATTTTACTGTCTGAAACCACCCTTTCCCCCTTCTTAACCATCAAAAAACCCTTTTGACTGCTCTCATTTATGCCAAGAGCTACAGGGATTAGGCAGTGCAGACGCCTGAGGTGACTTGGCCTGCTGCCTCTCTCTGCACAGGCTTTATGCTGTGCCGTGGAGACAAGGGGTGAGGTGCAACCTGCTGCATGGCTTCTTGCTTTCTACCCCATGCACTCCTGCAGTTGCTGATGCTGAGGTAGATGCAAGGGGAGCAGGGGCCCTGGAACAATAAGATGGCCTATTGAGGGCTACCTCCAGTGTGCAAAGGCAAGGGGTAAAATGCTGGCTCTAATGAAGCCAGTACTTTCTTCTCACTAAAGCATGAACAAAAATGTAAAATCATTTTTAAAAGAATGCTTGAAGAGGCTCTACATGCCTCCATCAATAGGTAAGAGAAAGTGTAAGTAAACAGGGAGATTTACTCCTGAAACAAACACAATTAAAAAAAAACGTGTAGGGAAACAAGTGCACACAGAAAACACTCTCCTGTTATATAGCTGAGTGATATCAAATATGAATGAAAACCCTGAGATAAAACTTGGCATAGACAACAGAAATTCTGACAGAACTGTTTTGAAATGGGGCTCTTAGGAAAAGCTGTTGATTGAAATCAATACCACAAGACCTGGAATCTGAAAAGACCATTTCTGAGACCTGAGAGGGTCACTGCACACAAGTGTCAGTTGATAGTATTGAGGCTGCAATTGCCTTCACCAAGGAGTTTTGGTGTTTGCTTTAGAGACTTCTTGGAGATGGCAGCTGAGCACACATTTAACACTCCTGCCTGGCCTCATCCTTCTGGGAAAGGGAGATTTGTAGAGACTTCAGTTGCTTGAACAACTGCCTCAACTCCCATGTTAGTGCATCACAGATCCTGCATATTAATAAATAATGTTTGATTAACATACTGTATCAATTTTTTTTTTCTGATCAGAATTTAAAAAGGTTTGAGGTTCTCTTTTCTTCTGTTCTTTAAACAGACATTTCTTCACCTGACTTTTTCATAAGCTGTAATCTAGCAAAAGAAGTTTTTCATTATGATCTTGTTAATGTTTTCGTTTTTTTCAAGCAGTAACACTGAATTCTGTCTCGGTAGTTGTTTATTTATTTTATTAGACTGTGCATGAATAGATAATGGCTTCACTAACAGTAGCAAAATGCAGATATCCATATAACATTAGAAATTACTTTAAACATTTCCCGATGTTTGATCAGAAAGTAATGAAAAAGTGATTAGAAAATAAATAAATATCTACTGTATTTCCATTTTTAAATGCCAGAGAATAATTTGTCAACATGATGAAACATTTTGAGGATCTTTTGTTCTAAGAACCCCAAAGGATAAGAATCTGGCTCTGTGCATATGCTAAGCTGTCCTTTACCTTGTACCAGAGCTCATGTGAAAATGTTTTCAAAGAAGATCCAAATAAAAGTGTTGCAGACAAAAACAAACAAACAAACAAACAAAAAGGATTAATATGAATTTTAAATTGATTCATCTTTTTAAAAGAAATCATCTGTGTCAGGACTGCGAACAAGAGAAAATATTTTATGTGCCTTATTATCACTTCCCTTACTTTTACTATACTCTTTCAGATCAGCAGATTATTTCAGTGTTGTTTGGGGTAATAGTGTATGTAGAAACATAATTTGAATGGAACATCTAGTTTTAATATCTAAACAAAACTGTAGAGGATATTCACTGTGATATCAGGCGTTACTACCAAAAAAGAGCAAGCACAAATACCGTGAGGTGAAGAAGAACAAGGAGAAAGCATGCAAATTCACAGTGATGAATTCAATATGGTTTGTACTTATCATTTTATTTGCCACAGACAATATAAATTATGTGCAACAGAATGGAGATTCAAATGATCCAACATCTGCATGATACTATAAATTACACTGCACTGTGTACACTAGAGAAAAGAGATGCTTACCAGTATCTAGCTTAAATGAAGCCGTGTATAAAGGAGTGTCCAAAAATCAGTCCCAAAGTAATGATGAGCAGATCCTTGCAAGCATAGATGTTCAGCTATATTTCAGTGTATGTACATTATACACGTGGGTTTTCAAACATTTTGCATTCACTTCTGTCAGAGACAATAATATCAAAATAATAACAAGCACCTGAGGTGACCCAAAGTTTTGCAATGATTATGTGAGTGTGTCTGAGTTAAGATCTTCAGTGTTTATTCCAATGCACTGTATTCTACATACAGCTCTTGTGCTTTTTCTTTAGGGCTTAAGGGCTTCCTGCTTTGCCTCTTTTGCACCTCCAACTCTTGCAGAATGGGTATGGGTTCTTTGGCTGCCGTATTTGTCACTGTGTTGGCTAGTTTGAAGCAGCTTGATGGTTCTGCCATGTATTGCATGGATTTTAATTTATGATTTTTTTTTCTGACCCTGTAGTTAAATACAGATTGTAAGATTTCAAAAGTCAGAGGGAAAATAAATGGACCTTGTAATTAAAAATGTGGCATGAAGAATTACAAAATAAGTATATTTCTAGCTGAAGACTGTGTGTAGAAGGATAGACACAAGATCATGAAGTGAAGTTGGAAGCAAGGCAGATACCTGTCTTCCTTTAACTTTAAAAAGAAAGATTTAGTGGGCTTGCTGGTACTTTGTATGCTTTTGTCTATTTGTATTGGCTGATTGGCTATCTCTTGCACGGGATAAGTAATTTTAGTGCTGTAACACCTGTACACACCACTCCATGCTTCACTCCCAAAATATTTCACTGACTCTACCAATTGTGTTTCTCTGAGCAACAAGTGAAACACCAGGTCTTCAGAAAGGAAGAAATAACAGATTCAGCATTTTTATCATCTTTGTTTCATGTCTGGGAAGTAGCAAAAGGAGACCAGCATTCAAGTCTGATTACTTATGAAATAAAGAGAAGATAAATAATAATTTCTCTTTCAGTCAGAGCCTATGCTGCAGGTTCTGTTAAGGCATATTGTTTATCTCTTTATTAATAAAAGGCTATTCTCAAATAATCCAGAGAGATAGATGCTTTGGATTATTGAGAGGTGATGGGATGTCTCTCATGGCTGGTGGAACATTGTAGGATGGCTCTCGTGTATGGAATGTAGGAGTAGATGGGTATAAACTCTTCATGAAAGACAGGCAGGGAAAAGGGAGACTGTGTTGACCTCTACATTAGCAATCAGCTGGAGTCCATAGAGCTGCACCTGTGGATGGATGAGGAGCTGACAGAAAGCTTATGGATTGGCTTAAAGAGAAGGTAGGGGAGGGAGATATCATAGGGAGGGTCTGCTGCAGGCTACCCCATCAGGAAGACTGAGTGGATAAGGCCCTTTATAAAGAGACAGAAACAGCTTCTTGTTCACTGAATATGGTCCTCATGGAGAACTTCAACTACCTTGATGTCTGTTGGAAGGACAAAACAGAGCTACAGCAATAAAAGAGATTTCTGGAATGCGTTAATGATAACTTTTGAAAATTTTGCAAGATTTTGCACTTGGGCCAGAGAAATCCCAGGTATCTATACAGATTGGAAGGAGCAGACCTTGATGGCAGCCCTGCAGAGAAGAACCTGGGTGTCCTGATGGATGAAAAACTTAACATGAGCCAGCAGTGTGCTCTTGCAGCTTGGAAAGCAAATGATATCCTGGGCTCCATCAGAAGAGGGGTGGGCAGCAGAGACAGGGAGATGATTGTTCCTGTCTACTCTGCTCTTGTAAGGCCCCATA